TACACCCAGGGCCCACAGCTGCAAGCCACAATGGGAAGTTGACTACCCTGACTGAGAATACAATGACTAGCAAGCTCTAGCAGATGCAAACACGCTTTTACTGTAAGGCTGAATTTGGTGCATTAGTACGGAATGACGGAATGACACAGGTGAAGGATATCATTTACAGAAGTGAGGGGAACACGCTTGGGGTAAGTTTCACGCCCACGATATGAGCTGGCGTGGATGTTCTTCCGGACAACTCTGAATGTTTACTGCTGAGCGTTTTTTTTTGTTGTTCCTGCTTCCCCCCACGGCTCGAGCAGGCTGCGGGAGTCTCCAGCAGGCCACATGAGCTCCAGGGAGGCACTAGGAGGTCACAGGAGGCTACGGGAAGCCCCAGGAGGCAACGGGGGCCTCCGGATTGCCCTGCGAAACACGGAAGCTCGAGAGGTCCGAAGAGGCCCGAGGAGGCAAAAGGCCACAGGAGGCCACAGGAGGCCACAGGAGGCCACAGGAAACGCTTGGAGGCATCAGGAGGCCCCGGAAGGTGTTCTTATAGATTGATGGGTTCAATCCGAAGTGTTTTACCTTTGTTCCTAAAGATAGGGAGTCCTCCCCGTGAAGCCCTAGGATCAGAGGCCACAGAAGTCCCCCAGAGGCCCCAGGAGGTTTCAAGAGGCTCCGGGGCGCCCCAGGCTCACGCGCAAAGACGCATTAAGATTCATTCACATTTAGATGTGTTTCCAGAGTGTGGATATTCAAGCGCGCTTCTATTCGAATTTTTTTGCGCCTAGACACTCACGATGGACAGGTCCATGCAAATAGATGCACACATGGGAGCTCCAGGCAGCGAGTAATTATTCGAGCAGTGCCGTCCGCGGCGACGCGCGCTCGCTGCCCTGCCGCGCGGAGGAGGCATCATTTTGAACCGAACAAAAATGACAAGAAAAACCGTCGAGAACATAAACACTCAAAAAAACGTCGCACGATGATCCGCTACTTCTGTTAAAACCTTGGTTGTACCGAAGCCCTGGTTGCATGAGAGAATCTGCCTGCTCTACCGCACTCTAAAACTCTCACTAAATGGAACACGTGATGTTGCGTCGATTGCTGCACCATCCGTATGCGCCGTTGATATTGCCCATTGTGCTGTAGAGGCCACGCGATGCTTCAGAGCCTCGTTCAGCAATTGCTCCGGTTCCACCCCTATCTCGTATTTCGTGCTCAGCGACTTGGCGACGCAAAAGCTTCGCGCGTACAAGCTACAATATGGCAACGCACCCTGGTCCATGATTTGCGTCGTGCTCGGCAGATGCGCCAGCGTGCCCAGAGGGCTGAGAGCGCCGGGGCGAGCGGCGACCGGGGCGTGCAGCGCGAGAGCCAACGCGGGGGCCATAGCCCGTGCTGTGCCCGCGCTGGGGAGCGCCGCTTGAGCGCCAGGGACGGAGTCCGCTGCTGCGTCTGCGTCAGCGCCCGCAGCCGCTCTCCTCCTCCTCCTCCTCCTCCTCCTCCTCGTCCTTCTGGCGCGCGTGCGTTAGAGCCCGCAGCCGCTGCAGTGCCCGCGCCAGAGCCCCGCTGCCGCGACTCACCAGCTCTCGCAGTCGCAGCTTTGCCATCGCCGGCAGTTGGAGCCCCTGCTGTGCGAGCGCCCGTGTCCGTGGCCACCGCTGTGGCAGATGTAGTGTCCGCGGCCGCTGCCGCGACAGCGTCACGGCCAGCCGCCGCCGTGCTAGCGCCGCGGTGAGCTGCCTGAGCGCCAGCACCGAGGCCCGGCGTCGCAGTCGTCCCATCGCAAGGGTCCGCAGCCATTGCCGTGCCTGCGCGCCTCGCGGGGCGCTGTCGCTGCAGCGATTGCACCGCCGATCTTGCTGGCAAATCTCTGCGGCACCTCGTTCAGCCAGGCCTCCCTCTTCGTCGGCTCCGCCTTCCCGAGCAGCCAGGGGGGCTCAATCGCGCATTCTGGCGAGGTGTCGTTTCAGGGCCCCCCTTGGGGATTTGTTTGTTTCTTTTGGGGGGAGCCCCGAGAGCGGGACACAACTTAGGGAGGGGGTCGTAGGCTCGCCGCCATCAAGACCACTCGTTTGAAAGCCCCAGCAACCGCACGATGGAACCTCGGACGTCGCGCGCCTCGGACGCCGCGAGGGAGATCGGCAGAGAAGACGACGTCCACCGTTCTGCCGCCGTTGCACCCCCAGCTGCACGCTGGGTTCGCGCAGTCAGACACCATGCCGAGAGGCGCCAGGGCGAAGCAAGCAAGGCCGAGGAACATTCACCGCGCCCCTTCCTCGCGGCTCACTGCGAGGCGAGCCTCCACGGAGGCGAAACACAGTAGGGCGAACGCCAAGCAAACTCGCTTGAGCCAAAAAGGCTGCGGCGGGGAAGTTAGTCTCCCTCTCTCTTTCTCTTTCTCTTTCTCTCTTTCGCCAGCTTTCGGAGTGAACCCTGTGTGACCAGCGCGGAGGCCTTGGATGAGCATGGCTTGGATAAGGAATCCAGGGCCTGGTAGTTCTGGAAGTCCAATGGTGGATCGGCCATCGGTGCCCCCAGCACCTTCATAAGATAAGTCATCCACTATTATCGACAGCTTCCTGGCCACATTCCTTCACAAATGTCTAACAATTGGGGCATGTCTAGAACCAATGCTTCTCTTTTTCAATCCGCTTGGCGCGGGGTCTTGAACGGGAGGGTGTATTGCAATATAGCTGATGCGTTTTTGGATTTATCTCGCCATCCTCCTCCTCTTCCTCGCGCCCTTATTCCTCCTTCTCCTCCTCCTCCTCCTTCTCCTCGCGCCCTTCCTCCTCCTCCTCCTTCTCCTTCGTAATTGCCCCTCCCCCAGACATGTCCTGGAGCACTATGGGACCAGGATTTCGAAGGGAATCCGAGAGCCCCCATTAAGGCCCAAAGAGGGACGCAAAACATAAAGATCTTCTCGTCCCCCTTCTCCACTCCTCGCCCCCTTCCTCAGCGTCCACCTCCTCCTCTTCCTCCTCTTCCCCCTCCTCCTCTTCCTCCTACTCCTCCTCCTCGTCCTCCTGCTTTGCGAGGTCAGGCGTGCCACCCGAATACGTCCACCTACTCTGGTGCTCCGTCTACGCTAAGAAGGCTGTTGTTCGCGCCGATTCAACCAGCAAGACGTTCAAGCTCTGACGCGGCATGACACAAGAGGAACCTCTGAACTCACCACTCGTCATTGTTTTGCTGCAGTAGGTTCTGGAATCACTCATCCTGGACTGGCAACGACGACGACGAAGAGTAGAATTAGCCTGTTGTCACCAACCTCCGCACTTCGCCGACGACGTCCTACCACTCAGTCAGACACTAACTCACTTGAAGGCCCTGCTTCTGGACTTAATCAAAGCAGCAGCAAGAGCAGGATCATGACCAGGAACATGAGGACTTGCCGTTTTCTACCCCAGGTCGATTAATGCAGCCCGCCGCGACGGAGCCGACCGAGCGAAGTCGTGGACGCCCTCGCCCTCCCCCCAGACCTTTGACGACTTGATCTTTTCACCTTTCGCGGCCCAGGACATCTTTTTTTCCATCCCGAATCGTTCCTGGTTCCATTAGTTTCCACCCTGTTGGGGCGCTTGCAACACGCTCTGCTCCCCCGTAGAGGACGGGAGAAACGCCCGCGGACGTCGCCGTCGTTGTGTTCCCTCCAGATGTCTCGACTTTTTTCACAGGATATTTGTTTCTCATCCCGGGCTATTCGTTAAAAGCCCTACAGCTCGAAATCATCCCCCGGAAAATGAAAATTGCACCAAAAACGGCCGCATCGATTTTTAGAAGCGCCCGATGTCTGGGACCGGGGGCTACAGACACCCCCAAGATTGATTCCAGGCTAGGTCTGGGCCTGTCTCTCTAAAGAGAATCCAGCCGTGGCCGCGAGAAGGCCCCCGAGAGCCCAGAGGAGGCCAGAAACGCTCGAGAATCCTAGGATATGTTCTACGCCTTCCCAAGATCAGAATTTACGGGAATCGTCGAGATCGAGAGGGGAGAGCGCCCGTGGGCGCCAGAATAACCAGTCAACCAACTGTATTTTTGGACGAGTTTGCCGTGGCGCCGGCGCGTGTGAACCGCAGGGGCCTAAGAGAGCCAAACGAGAGCCGCCGGAGATGATTCAGACGGCCCTCAGGAGCCCCTGACAGCCCAAGAACGCTCTCAGATGGCCAAAGGGAGCCTCAAGACGGCCTTACAGGGCTCCCAAACGAGCTTCAAAGCAGCCCAAGAGGGCCTTCTGTAGGAATTCAGTTTCAAGCTAGATGGGCTCAAGGTCAGATTGCACGCGCCGCCTCGGGCCCATTGAAGAGATGCACGGGTCGAGCCGCCATGACGCAAAAGCGCCGTGTGCCGTTCATTTTGCCGTCTTATTTTGCTGTGCCGCAGCCGCGATCTGTCCTGCTGGATTCGTTGCGTGTGCTAGAGGATGGGCCGGTACAGTTGGCGCCTCGTTCAGCGGCCGTTTGCCGAACAACCTTTTTTGTGATTGAAGCTGCTACGGCGGCGGAGCGGGACGGGGCGGGAAGCCTGACAGGGAGAGTGGCCACCCCCGACCACCACGGCGGCGCGTTCCCTTCCAGTGGCGAGTGAGACAGGGCACGCAGCTTGGCCGGAAGGTTCCGGGGCTTGGCTTTTTTTTGTTTCCCCCCTTTGGCTTTTATTTTTTCCCTCGGAGTTTTTTATTTTTATTTTGTTTTTATCCCCCTTCGAGGTTTTTCCCCCCGGGGGGGCGGGGTGGGGGCCCCGAGGCTTTCATTTTTTCCCTCGGAGGCTTTGTTTTTTTCTCTCCCCCCCCCCTCGAGGCTTTTTCTTCCCTGCCCCAGAGAGCCCCGAGACTGTCCACAAGAAACCCAAGATGCCCCCAGAAGGCTCCCAAGAGAGACCCACGAAAGTCATAGGAGAACCCCGAGATGGCCACTGGAGGGCTTCAGAAGACCTCTGGAGGGCCCCAGCTCCCCAAGACGGACCCAGAAGGCCCCAGGACGGCCCAAGAGGGCTCCAGGACGGCCCTCCGTAGCCATTTTGGCTCAAGTTGCTGCGTTTCGAGCAACTGATTGATGCAGCGCTGGCAGTACCCAGCATATTGACGGGCGATGGCTCGCCACAGTGATTGCGAGCCAACAGTGATGGCAAAGCCTGGACGAGATTGGCGCGTGCTGTGTCTGCGGGTCAGCATGTTTTGGTTGTCGGGTGTTCTTTTTGGGGCTGTCGTTACTTCTAGCCTTGCCCACGCAGGCCCCACTGCGATCGGCGCCCCAGCGAAGGCGGCCCATGCACCAGCAGCCGCTCCCTGGGCAAAGGCAAAGCGCCCTGCGTCACCCAGTGCAGGTGTCGCCGGCTTGCCGTCTCCTGGCCGACCCAGCGGCGCAAAGAGCAGCGGGCAGAGCGCCGGTGAGAAGCCCCAGCGGCCGACCCAGCGGGATCCCTCTGCAAGGGGGTGCGGGGAGTTCGCGGTCCAGAACGAGAGCCGGACCTGGCGGGTGGGTCTCAAGCCGTCGGAGGTACGGCAGGGCAAGGGTGTGGCTATCCTCTGCAGCCCAGACCCAGGCAACATCGGCCATGCCTTCCACGAGTCCATACAGCACTACATCAAGCGCACCGTCCAGGACCCGTCTATCAAAGCGTGGATCACGCAGGGCGTGGCCATGAAGTGGTACGGCACCTTGCTGACTTGGTGCGCCGAGCACTTGGGGGTGCGCCTCATCTCGACCCAGAAGGCCGCGATTGCAGAGGGCCTGGAGGTCATCAGAGGCGTTTTCTGGAGGACGGGCGACAAGTCCAAGTGGCTAGTGAATGGGGGCCCTTCCAACAGGCCAGACAGGTGCCCCAGCCAGGAGTGGCAGCATAAAACAAAAACAAGATCCCCCGGGGATGCGATGTTCGTCGTCCTGGCCCACGTCCGGTGCGCCGCGTGGAGCAAGGTCGGCGCGCCCGACCCGCGGAAGGCTTATTCTTAAGTCGGGCATGTCCCTCTACAGGGGGAAAATTCCCAAATAGTGGAAACTAGTGTGGGGGCGATTTATCATTATTAGTTTCATTTATTATTATTATTATAATTTTTTATTTGCTGAACGATTTTTGCCTATTTGTTGTTTTTGTTGTTATTGTTGTTGTCGTTGATGTTGTTGTTGATTATGTTGTTGTTGTTGTTGCTGATGTTGTTTTTGTTGTTGTTGTTTTTTTTGTTGTTGCTGCTGTTGTTGTTGTGGTTGTTGTTGTTGTTGTTGTTGTTGTTGTTGTTGTTGTTGTTGTGGTTGTTGTTGTTTTTGTTGTTGTTGCTGTTGTTGTTGTTGTTGTTGCTGCTGCTGCTGCTGCTGCTGCTGCTGTTGTTGTTGTTGTTGTTGTTGTTGTTGTTGTTGTTGTTGTTTTTTGTTTTTGTTGTTGTTGTTGTGGTTGTTGTTGTGGTGGTGATTGTTGTGGTGATTGTTGTGGTGGTTGTTGTTGTTGTTGTTGTCGTCGTCGTCGTCGTCGTCGTCGTCGTTGTTGTTGTTGTTGTTGTTGTTGTTGTTGTTGTTGTTGTTGTTGTTGTTGTTGTGTTTTTAATCGCCCAACATCCCCCTGTAGGGGGACACGCCCGACTTAAGCTTATTCGTTGCTGCACACCCGCGCCGACGCTGCCCGGCGGAGGCTGGTGGAGTGGGAAAACATCGGGTGCAGGTTCGACAAATTGGTGCATGATATGGTGTTGGCACTCCCAGAGCAGGTGCGCCTCTTCGCTGGTGCCCACACCGTCGTCGGCCCAGTGGGCTCGGGCTTCACCAACTTAATCTTCATGCAGCCGACTGCTGTCGCGATCGAGATCCTTCAGGCGGGCCAGGTCGGCAGCAGCAGCTGGCAGTTCCAATACGGCACTTGCCAGGCAGTGGCAGCACACTGGACAATAGCGGCCGACACAATGAGGGCGTGGGAGGGCGCCAAGAGCATTCGCTCACACTCGGCCGACGACGACATTGTAGTCACAGAGGAGCTGGCGCTCAAGATCTGTGACAAGATGCGGGTCTCGCCATGTATGTGCCAACAGCGGTTGTGAGGGCGCTCTTCCTCCTCATCCGCCGTCTTCACTCCGTTTTTGCCCCCTCCTCCTTCCTTCCTTCCCTCCGTCCCTCCTCCGCGGAATGGTGGTGCCGATTTGGCGCGCTCAGAGGGGCGCGCCCATGCCGTGCCGAGACGCGGCTGGCGCAGCGCCCAGCCGAGACGTCTCGCGCGGGTACTTGTTTGTTTGTTACCTAACTGCGAAGACTGATAGGCTTCTAGTGGTGTCAGAAGAGAGCATCTGATGACTCAGAAGGGAGGTCTGGGCGGCATCCGGACAGCGAGGGCCGGGCTCAGGGCCGGGCTCGTTTTAAGCAAACAGTCACACACTTCGTGCTCTTCGACCTCCCAGAACTCCACTCCCAGGCCACATTTTGAATGCCCGAAGCCAACTGTAGACCACTTCGTGCTCTACGTTTTCCCAGAACTCCATTCCCGGGCCACATTTTGAATGCCCGGAGCCAACTGTAGGCCACTTCGTGCTCTTCGACTTCCCAGAACTCCATTCCCGGGCCACATTTTGGATGCCCGGAGCCAACTGTAGGCCACTTCGTGCTCTTCGAGTTCCCAGAACTCCATTCCCGGGCCACATTTTGAATGCCCGGAGCCAACTGTAGGCCACTTCGTGCTCTTCGAGTTCCCAGAACTCCATTCCTGGGCATGATTTTGAATGCCCGGAGCCAACTGTAGGCCACTTCGTGTTCTTCGAGTTCCCAGAACTCCATTCCCGGGCCACATTTTGAATGCTGAGGCAGGCTGAGGCTGAGGCTGAGGCAGGCTGAGGCTGAGGCAGGCTGAGGCTGAGGCCGAGGCTGAAGGCAGACTGAGGCTGAGGCTGAAGCAGGCTGAGGCTGAGGCTGAGGCAGGCTGAGGCTGAGGCTGAGGCTGAGGCAGGCTGATGCTGAGGCAGGCTGAGGCTGAGGCTGAGGCTGATGCAGGCTGAGGCTGAGGCTGAGGCTGAGGCTGAGGCCGAGGCTGAAGGCAGACTGAGGCTGAGGCTGAAGCTGAGGCTGAGGCTGAGGCTGAGGCTGAGGCTGAGGCTGAGGCTGAGGCTGAGGCTGAGGCAGGCTGAGGCTGAGGCTGAGGCAGGCTGAGGAGGCTGAGGCTGAGGCTGAGGCTGCAGGCTGAGGCTGAGGCAGGCTGAGGCTGAGGCCGAGGCTGAAGGCAGACTGAGGCTGAGGCTGAAGCAGGCTGAGGCTGAGGCTGAGGCAGGCTGAGGCTGAGGCTGAGGCAGGCTGATGCTGAGGCAGGCTGAGGCTGAGGCTGAGGCTGAGGCAGGAGGCTGAGGCTGAGGCTGAGGCTGAGGCTGAGGCTGAGGCTGAGGCTGAGGCTGAGGCAGGCTGAGGCTGAGGCTGAGGCTGAGCTGAGGCTGAGGCTGAGGCTGAGGCTGAGGCAGGCTGAGGCTGAGGCTGAGGCAGGCTGAGGCTGAGGCTGAGGCTGATGCAGGCTGAGGCTGAGGCAGGCTGAGGCTGAGGCCGAGGCTGAAGGCAGACTGAGGCTGAGGCTGAAGCAGGCTGAGGCTGAGGCTGAGGCAGGCTGAGGCTGAGGCTGAGGCTGAGGCTGAGGCTGAGGCAGGCTGAGGCTGAGGCTGAGGCTGAGGCAGGCTGAGGCTGAGGCAGGCTGAGGCTGAGGCCGAGGCTGAAGGCAGACTGAGGCTGAGGCTGAAGCAGGCTGAGGCTGAGGCTGAGGCTGAGGCTGAGGCTGATGCTGAGGCAGGCTGAGGCTGAGGCTGAGGCTGATGCAGGCTGAGGCTGAGGCTGAGGAGGCCGAGGCTGAGGCAGACTGAGGCTGAGGCTGAAGCAGGCTGAGGCTGAGGCTGAGGCAGGCTGAGGCTGAGGCTGAGGCAGGCTGAGGCTGAGGCTGAGGCTGAGGCTGCAGGCTGAGGCTGAGGCAGGCTGAGGCTGAGGCCGAGGCTGAAGGCAGACTGAGGCTGAGGCTGAAGCAGGCTGAGGCTGAGGCTGAGGCAGGCTGAGGCTGAGGCAGGCTGAGGCTGAGGCTGAGGCAGGCTGAGGCTGAGGCTGTGACTGCGACTGCCGTTGCCACTGCGACTGTCATCGCGAATGCGACTACGACTGCGAGAACAGCAGAATTCTACAACTGGATTCTCATCCGAATCTGAAGGGGAATGCTTCCAGATATGCTCCTACACATCGCTGTTAGGTTGCTTTGCTGGTATAATTTTCCCCTTGTTTGTTTTCCCTTGTTTTTTTACCTAGCAGCGCAGGCTGATAGGCTTTTAGTAGGGTCAAAAGAGAGCATCATGACGCCCCAGGGGGGTCTGGGCGCGATCCGGGGGAGGATGCGGGGGGGATGCCGGGGAACTCGTTATAAGCAAGCAGTAACGCACTTCGTGGTCTTCGAGTTCCCAGAACTCCATTCCTGGGCATGATTTTGAATGCCCGGAACCAACTGTAGGCCACTTCGTGTTCTTCGCGTTCCCAGAACACCATTCCCGGGCCACATTTTGAATGCCCGGAGCCAACTGTAGGCCACTTCGTGTTCTTCGTGCTCCCAGAACACCATTCCCGGGCCACATTTTGAATGCCCGGAGCCAACTGTAGGCCACTTCGTGTTCTTCGTGTTCCCAGAACACCATTTCCGGGCCAAATTTTGAATGCCCGGAGCCAAGGCAGGCTGAGACTGAGCCTGAGGCAGGCTGAGGCTGAGGCTGAGGCTGATGCAGGCTGAGGCTGAGAGGCTGACGCTGAGGCTGAGGCAGGCTGAGGCTGAGGCTGAGGCCGAGGCAGGCTGAGGCTGAGGCTGAGGCAAGCCGAGGCAGGCTGAGGCTGAGGCTGAAGCTGAGTCAGGCTGAGGCTGAGGCTGAGGCTGTGGCTGAGACTGAGGCAAGCTGAGACTGAGGCAAGCTGCGGCTGAGGCAGGCTGAGGCTGAGGCTGATGCAGGCTGAGGCTGAGGCAGGCTGAGGCTGAGGCTGAGGCTGAGGCTGAGGCTGAGGCTGAGGCTGAGGCCGAGGCAGGCTGAGGCTGAGGCGGAGGCAAGCCGAGGCAGGCTGAGGCTGAGGCTGAAGCTGAGGCAGGCTGAGGCTGAGGCTGTGGCTGAGGCTGAGGCCGAGGCTGAGGCTGAGGCTGAGGCAGGCTGAGGCTGAGGCTGATGCAGGCTGAGGCTCAGAGGCTGACGCTGAGGCTGAGGCTGAGGCTGAGGCTGAGGCTGAGGCTGAGGCGAGGCAGGCTGAGGCTGAGGCTGAGGCTGAGGCTGAGGCAGAGGCTGAGGGCTGAGGCTGAGGCTGAGGCTGAGGCTGAGGCTGAGGCTGAGGCAGGCAGGCTGAGGCTGAGGAGGCAGGCTGAGGCTGAGGCTGAAGCTGAGGCAGGCTGAGGCTGAGGCTGAGGCTGTGGCTGAGGCTGAGGCAAGCTGCGGCTGAGGCAGGCTGAGGCTGAGGCTGATGCAGGCTGAGGCTGAGGCAGGCTGAGGCTGAGGCTGAGGCAGGCTGAGGCTGAGGCTGAGGCCGAGGCAGGCTGAGGCTGACGCCGAGGCAAGCCGAGGCAGGCTGAGGCTGCGACTGCGAGAACAGCAGAATTCTACATTGGATTCTCACCTAAATCTTAAGGGGAATGCTTCCAGATATGCTTCTACACATCGATGTTAGGTTGCTTTGCCGGGTTAATTTCTTCCTGCCTTTCCTTTTCCTTCGTGAAGTCGTGTCTCCGAGTCCTTGCTGTCAGGAGCGCGCCTGAGCCGAGCGACACGGCCAGCGCGGCGTTTAGCCAAGGAGCCCTGCAGGGGTGATCCTCCTCTTCTCGTCCTCGGCCTCTCCTCCTCCTCCTCCTCCTCCTCCTCCTCCCTGATTGTGGTGACGTTTATCCGGCGAAGGTCTGCCGCCACAGAGCGTCGTCGTGGGGAAAGGGGAACGCTGTGGGGCCCTCCTGTCTCGCAATTTGGGCATTCGCATCGTCATCGTCGTCATCATCATCATCATCATCAGCATCATCATCATCATCATCATCATCACCATCATCATCATCATCATCAGCTTCATCATTATCATCATCATCATCATCATCGTCATCATCATCGGCGTCATCGACATCATGACCACCACCATCAGCATCAGCATCACCATCATCATCACCATCATCATCGTCATCGTTAGCATGATCATCGTAGGTATTGTTGTTGTTGTTGTGCCTGTAATACGCATCTATGTTCAAGTTTTCTTCTGCGGCCACGCTTCAGAATCGTCTTCGGCCATGGGCAACCCCTGCAAGGGAACCAAGGCGTACAGGGACAAACTCGACGCTAACAACGAGCGGCGGGCGAAGATACGGGTGGAGAAGTTCCTGAAGCAGGAGCGGACTCGAGAGGTCCTACTGAAGGCTGGGCGCCAAGCTGCTGCGAAACTGCGGGCGCAAACTCGAGTACCGACGGCAAGCGGACGGCTTGAGGACAGGCAACATGAAATCGTACCAACAACAAGAACTTGGCGGCGCCGCTTCGCTGATAGGCCCAACCCTCGCGCGTCTCGCCTCCACTTTGCGCTGGCTGCCGTGGAGGAGGAGATCGTGAACGACTTCGTTGGCGGCCTGGAAGAACACGTTCCAGAGTGCTACGTGAATGCGCTTATGTTGGACGGAGCCATCCTGCGGCTTCATCAGTCCAGTTTGGGCGCTCTGACCGAGCATTTGAACGCCGTGGGGTCGAAGCACAACGTGTCGTTCTCGACGGACCTCTTCGACAGATTGGGCGGGGCAGCTGGCAAGAATTGCGTTTCGAAGTTGAAGCAGTGCGCGTTCTGCGGTTGTTCCTTGAAGGCGCCAGACAAGACAGCCTTGTGCACCGTCGTGGGCAGCGATGCCGTCACGACGGCTTGGGCGAGCCGAAAGAGGTGTTGCAGCCGCAATTGTGGCGCATCCTTTCGGCCAAATTTTGACTGGCAGCAGGAAAAGAAGTGCAGCGTTTCGAGTTTCGAAGAGATCAAGGCTCGCGGAGTATATTTTGTTACCGACAAGCTTGGCTTCTCGTGCGACTACTTTGCGTTGACGCGCCTGCGGCTCCTGCGAGCCAAGAACGCCCCTGGGCAGGAAGCAGCCGTTCGGCATCTTTTCGTCCATGAGCAACGGTGCTCTCAAGAGGGCGAGCTCTCGAGTCGCATTTCGCTTCGTGACCACTTGCTCCACGCGCTGGAGGGATTATCCGTGGCCCGTCGGTCCCCGACGGACGTGATGCCCTTCGACGTGGAATGCCCTGCAGATTTGCAATGGAATGTGAAGAAGACTTTAACGTACCCCCCCTTGCCTGCGAGGTGCGCGCGCTGGGCTTCGACGGACATTTCGGTGTACACCGTGGTCTTCAGGGCGGCGTGGACGTCCCAGAGCCAGCCGCAGCGCGCGGTCGGAAGAGGAAGTTGGCATACAGGGAGGACGAGAGGACTGCTTCGTGCGCCAACAAGGGCAAGGATCGCCCAGCGATGTGTGGACACACTGCTGGGTGGCAGTTTGTTCTTGATCCGCAATCTCGGCTACTGCTCGGGGCCACTGAGCATTCCCGCAGCGAGAATATGGCGGACAAGCTGCGCGTCGTCAAGGCGGTCATGAGGCTGCCGAACGTCCGCGCTGATTTGCTTTTCCACGATGACGCGTGCCATTTTGAACAGCACGTGCAGAAGAACCACGCAGCGTTCTTCAGTAATGTGACGTATTTCCTGGTCGGTAATTTTCACTTGAAGAACCGCAAGTGCAGCGAGCGCAGGTGGGCAAAGGCGGAGACAATGCGCGCGAAAGGCCAGCCGTCTGAGCTTCCTGAGATTTTTAACAGCTGGGGTCGCACCGCCAACTTCTTCCTGAATTCTTTGCGGCCCGCAAGCCATCGCTTCTGGGTTAGCGAGTTTTGCGAGATGTGGAATGCCACTGAAAAGGATTCGTCGACATACCGATCTGCTCGCTCAACTGCGAAGTCCAGGAGGCGCAAACTCAAGTGAGCAACGCTGGCGTGATCCTGCACCTTGCATAAAAACAGAAATAACTGCAATGCGGGTTGCTCGTGGCGACCACGCGCTTTGAGAAGCGTGCTCGCGAGTTATGATGCGTTGGCGATTAGCTCCATGGCAGCCGAACGGGGGGATTTGCAGGGGGGCGGAGGAGGTGGAGGAAGAGAAGGAGGGGGGAAACGGAAGAGGAGGAGGAGGATAGGGCCGAGGAACGGGATGAGGAGGAGGGGGAAGAGAATGAAAGAGGGATCGCCCTGGGGTCTCTGAGCGGCCCACGGCCCTCCCTCGCAGCAGGGCGGAAGAGGGGAAAACATGACAAAACGGAAAACATGAAAAACCTTGTGTTTCCACATGGAAAAACAGGAAAAAGCAGCGAAACCTGTGACTGTCGCTCTTTGTCAAGTTTTTTTCGTGTTTTTCCATGTGAAGACATAAGGTTTTTTTTATTGTTTTTCTTATTCTCCCTGTTTTCCTCTCTCCTCCCCTCAGCGCCCTGGGGTCTCTGAGCGGCCCGCGGCCCTCCCTCGCAGCAGAGCAGAAGAGGGGAAACCAGGAAAAACAGGAAAAACATGAAAAACCATGTGTTTTCATATGGAAAAACAAGAAAAAATTGAAAAAGAGCGACAGTCACAGGTTTCGCTGCATTTTCCTGTTTTTCCTTGTGAAGCCAAAAGGTTTTTCATGGTTTTCATGTTTTCCCTGTTTTCCTCCTTCGCCCCTCTAGCTTCCTGAAGCGCCCGAGCAGCCTACGGAGCCTCCGCCCAGAATGCGATTGCATCGTGCTCTCAGGGCACAGGCGATTACCATCCAATTAGGACGGGGTGTTTTGTCAAATCATATTGCAAAGAGCGGACTACTGATTCAGATGATTCGTCCGTTGTTTGTGAGGGAGGAGGGCCCCACAGCGTTCCTTTCTCCGTCGTGGGGCAGTTGGCGCCGTTTCAAGACCCCTGTGACTTGATATTGTGGTCAGCACGTTGCACTATGTGCGTTGACGAATGTCATCTTGCGTGAGGCCCGTCCACTGAACAAAAAAGAGGGCCCCAGGACGGCCCAAAGAGATTCCAAAACGCCCAGACGGCGTTCTCCTACGAAGTACATCGAGCCGTCCCGAAGATCTTGGTTCCACGCTTGAGGTTCGAGGTTTAGTTCATCGATCGAGAAACACAAGCAATATATTTAGATTCGAAGTTCGACGATCGAAAATTTCGTGAGTGCCTAGAGCCCCCCGGGCATTCAGGAAGCGACCGAACATTGATTTGTTCGGAGCTACTGCGACTTCTTCGGGGTGTCATGGGGATGCTCCTTACTTCCTCAAAGGACCTTCTCGCGTGAAAAAAATCACCATTCCTTCCCCGCTCCTGCGCACAAGCGTGCAAGCGCATCGGGCGAACGCGGTGTCAGCAGGCACCAGGGCTATCATAAGAATGAGCCCGTCGCCCGTCCAGGCATCGGAACAAGGCGCGTGGCGCGAAACGCCAATGCAGTTTTGTATATATATATATATATATATATATATATATCTGTGTGTTTATGTGTGAATGTGTTGAATATGTTTGTATGTATGTGTGTTTGTGTTTGTTGAACCTTCGGCTTGTGGATTTTTTTTTTTGTGTGTGTGTGTGTGGAACCCTACGTGTGTGTGTTACCTTGCGACCGATGCTGTTGTTTGTGTTTATGTGGAACCACCGGCCAACCCACCACGCACCGTTCAGCCACCGCGCGACCCACCGCGTTATCCGCCGTGCGTCAGCATGGCACCGCCAACCGAAACACAGCGTATCAGTCCAGGTGCCCATCGCGCAGCCCATCCCGCAACCCCAGTTGGACAACGGCCCTGCGTCTGCACATTGGGCCAGTTCTCCACAGCCCAAGTTCTTCACGCATCATTGCCACCATCGTCGATGCCTGACATCGTCTCGTTCATATATGGAACAGGCGATGTTTTAAAACATTGGGCCTGATCGTAGGAGAGAACAGCAGTCGAAGGCCGTGCGCTTCAATTGCACCCCATGCGTACTGCCATCGCTGGCGTGCGCATCGGAAGTTTCAAGTGCGAGTTTTTGTTAGGTGTGCAATCTGTTCATCTATATTGAACAGGCCGTTGCGACAGTCTGATGGGTGGTCCCCAGGAGGCCCCAAGAGGCTCCCAGGAGGCCCCAGGAGGCTCCAAAGGGGCACCCAAAAGGCTTCCAAAAGACCCCAGGAGGCCCCCAGAAAGCGCCCAGGAGACCCCCGAGAGGTTCCAAACGGGCCTCTGAGAGATTCCCCAAAAGACTTATTATAATCTACGGAGGCCTCTGGTCCACAACCCAGGCCAGTTTTTTTGGGCGCCGCCTGATCGGCACAGGTTTTGGTTGTTGTGCGTATGCATTTGTATGTATGTGCGTACGCACGTACGTATGCATGCCCGACTACATGTCTGTGTTCATGTACGGGTTCACACACAGACGCCATTCATCGTCGATTTCCCAGAAAATTTTGGGAAACTATGGGAAGTGTGGGGGGGGGGGGGAAGACAGCAACCCAGGACATACAGGACACTCATGGGGAATACTGCTAGTTGTGTGTGTGTGTATGTATTTGTGTGTCCCAGGGCCCCTTTATAGAGGGTCGCTGCGGAGCTAGCGTGCGCAGGCGCGGCGCGATCCGCGCGGAGGCGCGAGCGCGCCCACTGAGGCCGCGGGTGGAGCTCCTCGTGGAGCGCGATCCGCGCGCAGCGTCGCCGAAGCGGGCGCGGGGACGCCATTCGAGATTGCCTACGGGTGCCACAGATGGAGATTCTTGCGGGGTGCGATCCGTGTCAGGGTTGTGTGCTGTTCATGCCTCAGCATTTTCGATGGAGTTACTGCAGAAACCTTTTATGCGAAGCTGCGCTCCGTTTGGGCCGCATGGTCTATCACAAGGGCACGGTGCGAGGCTGGCATTTCCGAAACGCGTTCGTTGCCGACGCCTGCGCTGCCGAACCATGCCGAGGACGCCGTGCGATCCCTCCTGCTGGGAGCCGTCGGTGGAGCCCCCTGTGGGGCGCGGTCCGTGTGATGGGTGTGCCGAAATTGGGCGTGAAGATGCCATGCGAACCTTCTCTCTGGGGCCTCAGGTGTAGCCCCCCTTGGGCCACGATCCCCGCCTTGGCGGTGAAGAACAGCTGCCGATATGTTCGCGGATACCTCTTTGGGAACATGCGGGAGGAGGGTAATGGGGAGGAGGATGAGGAGGAGGAGGAGGAGGAAGAGGAAGAGGAGGAGGAAGAGGGTGATGAAGAGGAAGGGAAGGAGTAGGAGGAGGAGGAGGAGGAGGAGGAGGAGTAGGAGGAGGAGGTAGGACGAGGATTAACTGCAAACGGTGGAGAGGATGAGGAGGCGCAGGCCATGGGCGGAAGAGGAAGAGGACCAGCAGGGGGACGAACAGGATAGAACATGGAGTAACGAGAGGAGGGGGCGGAGGATGAGGAGGAGGAATGATAATATGACTACTGTTGATACTTTTATGAATAGTAACAATACAAATATTTAGAATATTCGTAAGACTGGGAGGAACACTGCCAACATTATGAATGATAATAAAAGGATTGGGCATACTACGACCATGAATACTAAGACATCATAGTCATACTAACCTAAGAGGAATACTGCTAACAGGGTGAACCCTAATAAGAGTATGAGGAACACTATTAGTACTAAGCAGAACACTAATATTATGAATGCGAGTGATAATACACACATTATCAATAATCATAGTAGTCCTACTAACGCGAAAACTGATGATACCAATCGTCGTACTGACATTACTAACAGTACCAATGACAACAATAATAATAATAGTTATACCAATCATTAACTTAATAGGAGGGGGAGTAGGAGGAGGAGTAGGAGGAGGAGGAGGACGAGGAGGAGGGAACGATGAGGGAGAGCAGGAGCAGGAGCAGGAGTACGGGAAGGAGCAGGACGAGGAGGAGGAGGATGAGGAGGAGGAGGAGCAGGAGGAGGAGGAGGATAATGACGATGACGAGGGAGCGAGAGGGGGAGGGGGCCGAGGCGGATGGAGACTCTGCAACGCCCGAGGGAAAACCATCAATGCATAAACAGATTCATTAGTGCATAATGCGTGGTCGTTTTTGCATAAAGCTTGTTTTAATGCAATAACTCTTGGTGAATACAGTAATGAATGCAGTGATGGCTACAGTAATGAATACAGTAGGTGTAGGCAAAAAGTGAGTACAGCAGTGGTTGAATACAGTAAGTGAATACAGCAGTGGTTGAATGCAGTGGGCGAATACAGGTGGTGAATAAGGAGGTGAATACAATAGTTGAATACAGTAGGTGAATGCAGGAGGTGAAGACAGGAGGTGAATACAGGAGGTGAATACAGGATGTGAATACAGTAGGTGAATACAGGAGGTGAATACAGGAGGTGAATACAGGAGGTGGCAGTAGGTGGACACAGTAGGTGAATACAGGAGGTGAATACAGGAGCAATACAGGATACAGGAGGTCAATGCAGTAGGTCAATACAATAGGCGAGTACAGTGGGTCAATACAGTAGGTTAATGCAGTAGGTCAATACAGTAGGTTCATACAGTAGGCGAATGCAGTAGGTCAATACAGCAGGTCAACACAGTAGGTCAATACAGTAGGCGAATACAGTAGATGAGCACACGCCCGAAACGCACAACCCGGAAACTATACATTGTAGTTTCCGAATTCAGGGTTTGGGTGCCGTTTCGCATATGCAGGCGCCACATGCGCCACATTTCAAGTTTCACGGCCGCAGGCGCCACGCGCGCCACATTTCGCGGCCGCAGCCGCCACATGCGCCGCGTTTCACAGCCGCAGGCGCAGGCGCTACATTTCACACCCGCTGGCGCCACATGCGCCACATTTCACAGCCACTAGCGCAGGCGCCACATTTCGCAGCCACAGGCGCCGCATTTCACAGCCACGGGCGCCACATTTCACAGCCACAGGCGCCACATTTTACAGCCGCAGTCGCCGCGTTTCACAGCGGCAGGCGCTGCATTTCACAGCGGCAGGCGCCGCGTATTTCACTGCCGAGCGCGCCGCATTTCACAGCCACGGGCGCCGCATTTCACAGCCGAGCGTGCCACGTTGCACAGCCGGGGGCGCCGCATTTCACAGCGGCAGGTGCCGCGCACTTCACGGCAACAGCGCGGCGCATTTCACCGCCGCTCGCCGTGCATTTCACAGCGGTAGGTGCCGCATTTCACAGCGGTCGGCGCCGGGCATTTCGCGGCCGATCGCGCCGCAGGTCACAGCCGCAGGCGCCGCGCATTTCACAGCCGAGCGCGCCCCGTTCCACAGCCGCAGGCGCCGCGCATTTCACAGCCGAGCGCGCCCCGTTCCACAGCCGCGGGCGCCGCGCATTTCACAGCCACAGCCGCCGCATTTCACGGCCGCGGGTGCCGCATTTCAGCCGAGCGCGCCACATTTCACAGCCGCAGGCGCCGCATTTCACAGGCGCAGGCGCCGCGTTTCACAGCCGAGCGCGCCGCGCGTCACAGCCGCAGGCGCCGCGCATTTCACGGCCACGGGCGCCGGATTTCACAGCCGCGGGCGGCGCAGTTCACAGCCGCCGGCGCCGCATTTCACAGCCGCAGGCGCCGCGTGTCGCAGCCGCAGGCGCCGCATTTCACAGCCGCTGGCGCCGCGCGCCGCAGCCGCGGGCGCCGCATTTCATAGCTGCAGGCGCCGCATTTCAAAGCCGCAGTCGCCGCATTTCACCGCCGCGGGCGCCGCGTTTTACAGCCGCAGGCGCCGCATTTCACAGCCGCACGCGCCACCATTCACAGCCGCGGGCGCCGCATTTCACAGCCACAAGCGCCGCGCTTCACAGCGGTAGGCGCCGCGCATTCCACAGCCGCGGGCGCCGCGCATTTCACAGTCACAGGCGACCCATGTCACAGCCGCAGGCGCCGCATTTCACAGCCACAGGCGCAACGTTTCACAGCCGCGGGCGCCGCGTTTCACAGCCGCAGGCGCCGCATTTCAGCCGCAGGCGTCGCATTTCACAGCCGCAGGCGCCGCATTTCACGGCTGCAAGCGCCAAATTTCACAGCGGCAGGCGCCGCGCATGTCACGGCCGAGCGCGCCGCATTTCACAGCCGCGGGCGCCGCATTTCACAGCCGCAAGCGCCGCGTGTCACAGCGGGGGGCGCCGCATTTCACAGCGGCAGGCGTCGCATTTCACGGCCGAGCGCGCCGCGTTTCACAGCCGCAGGCACCGCGCATTTCACAGCCATGGGCGCCGCAATTCACAGCCACGGGCGCCGCGTTGCACAGCCGCAGGCGCCGCGTTTCACAGCCGCAGGCGCCGCATTTCACAGCTACAAGGGCCGCATTTCACAGCCGCGGGCGCGGCAATCAAAAGCCAGGGGGGCCACATTTCACAGCCGCGGGCGCCGCATTTCATAGCCGCAGGCGCCGCATTTCACAACCGCAGGCGCCGCATTTCACAGCCGCAGGCGCCATTTCACAGCCGCAGGCGCCGCATTTCACAGCGGTCGGCGCCGGGCATTTCGCGGCCGATCGCGCCGCATTCCACAGCCGCGGGCGCCGCGCATTTCACATTCACAGGCGCCGTATTGCACGCAGGCGCCGCATCTCAGAACCACAGGCGCCGCATTTCACAGCGACAGGCGCCGCAATTCACAGCAGCGGGCGCTACATTTCACAGCCACAGGCGCCGCGTTTCACGGCCGCAGGCGCCGCATTTCACAGCCGCAGGCGCCGCGTTTCACAGCCGAGCGCGCCGCGTTTCACAGCCGCAGGCGCCGCGCATTTCACTGCCACGGGCGCCGCAATCAAGAGCCACGGGCGCTGCGTTCCACAGCCGCAGGCCCCGCATTTCACAGCCGCAGGCGCCGCATTTCACAACCGCAGGCGCCGCATTTCACAGCGGCAGGCGCCGCATTTCACGGCCGAGCGCGCTCCATTTCACAGCCGCAGGCGCCGCGCATTTCACAGACACGGGCCTTAAAATTCACAGCCACGGGCGCCGCATTTCACAGCCGCAGGCGCCGCATTTCACAGCCACAGGCGCCTCGTTTCACAGCTGCAGGCGCCGCATTTCACAGCCGCAGGCGCCGCGTTTCACAGGCAAGCGCCTGGTTGTAACCGAAGGAGTCGG